CCAAGCAATACGAAGGCATAGATTGGAGCTGCACTCCGTGCAACTACCTAGGGGTGCCACTGAAGCACTTCCGAAACAGCACGTCGTACTGGTCCGGGGTTGCAAGCGAATTGAAACGTCGAGCCAGTAACTGGTCACAGAAGAATTTGTCAGTGTTTGCACTTTCAAGCATCTGTAATATATTTTTGGCGGCTAAAGTATGGTGTTGTAGAACCATATTGGACAAACTGAATAACTGTTTATTAAAGGTACACACTGAAAGTTACATTGCTATAAAGACAGTTTCGAGCAGAAGACGCGTTAACCGGATCTTTCCTTTAGGAGGACCCCACACAAAGAGACGGAGCCACACCCCGGCAACCCAGAAATTCCCCCGTTTCTCTCTCTCCTGGTCATAAAACACTACGCCGACCACGTAGACTAAACACTTCCCGAAAACTCCCCGTCTTTGGGTCGGGTTTCAAAACTCCGTGCCCTCTCGCCGCGGCTCAAGTGATTTGTGGTATACGAGCCAGTAGACCGAGGTGGCGCGTGAAAACTCTATCCGCAGCATATGGTATGCCGTGCAGGTACTGCACTGTACCCGGAAGAGTATTCCGAAATCGCACAGGGTTTTTACAGTTTTAGTATGGAAGTCCACTTGGGAACCCATGCGTCGCGACAATTTGTTCCGTCGTGTATCAGATGGTGGACTCGGCCTTCCCCATTTGTTTATACGTCATTTGGTTTCACGTTTCCTTTTCCTAAGAAACCAATAGCACCCTTTTCTTCGTGAAGTCATTCATAATATACTGGAATGTTTTCTACCTGACTTTATCGTATCCTCCGTGGGAAACCAAACCTGTTTGTTAGTAGGATATCTTAGAGAAGTAGTCGAGGCTTTTCAGTTCTTATCAGTAAGGTTTTCAAAAGAATATTTAATGTTTGTTTCACGTAAAAAGTTGACTGGAGATCTTGTGAATATCCTATTTCCAATGCCCATTTACCACTCAATGTTTAGCGACGTTTCCCAACACGATATACTGCGCGGGGCAAAGAAGATGTCCATCCTCCCTGTAGCAAAAACTTTTTTTTCAAATTACATTGTTCAGCTCAGTGTTACCCACCAAAGTGTGGCTACAAGAGAAAGGAAGGTTCGTCCCGTGGTCAACAAACTGTACATTATGTAAAACGCCTGAAACCATTGAACATATTTTTATTCACTGTTGGGATGCCATTTTCTTCTGGGATGTTCTGCAGCGCACTCTAAAAAAGATATTGATATTACACCCTACTCAATTCATTTCCTACCTGTATCATCTAGAAATAACTTCCCGTATAACATTGTAATGCTCCTAGCATTGTATAGCATGTGGAAGTCGCGCCTCGACATAAGGAATGAGAATTTGCACCCAAAAACTGTACGCCTACATTTCATTGAGCTTGTAATCCGCGTCAAAAGCGTGTATGATATTCAAACAGTAGTTCCTGACTGGCTGCCTCTGTTTAACAGTCTTCAAGGCATCAAAGAGTTTTAACATGGGTACCATGATTGTGTAAAGTGAACCCTGAACGACAACGTTGTGATCCTATCGTTTATTCTTCCATGTAATAAAGCAAAAAAAAAAAAAAGAAAAAAAGATCGCTTGCCGAGTGGTTTAGCGCACACCAGCTCGGAGCACGTGGAGCGAAAGCTCGCGCTGCAGAACTCAGGGATCTTGGGTTCAATCCCCACCCCTGCCCGTTTCGATCTGGATGAGCATCGTACCGGCGTGCGGTCGTGTACCACTACTGCGTGGTGCACGTTGAAGACCCCAGGCTAGCGGTTGTACTGCACTGGCTAAATTTCTCATCTACAGCTGGGAGGCTCGTCGCCCGTTGAGGCAGATTAAGTTCTAGGCTGTATAAACATACAAACAACCCCCCCCCCCCTCCCCCTAGCCGATCTGGTCTGGCTAATGAGCGCTATAAAGTTTCAGGAGGAAACACAGCGCCACCGACATGCTCACATACTGCGCTGATGTGCTGTATGTGAGCATGTCGTTGGCATATGTAGCGGCAGGGACTGCAAGTGTTTTTCACAGGATTCTGCCCAATGAATATTTGTTATATGAATGTCTGACCAGATGCCACACCATCCCCTTCAAGTGGTTTGATTTTGCGACTAAGGTTTTTTCGTGTTAGGCCAGGTAGTCCATACCGTGTGTAATCGTTGCACCGAGGTACTTGTAGCTTATTGTTTTTTTGACTACCTGGTTTTGCAGGTAAAATTTCTGGTCACCCTCTGAATTAAAGCCCATCCACTGTGTTTTTTCGGTGTTAAATTTAAAGTTGTCCCTTGATGCCTCTTACGTACAAATGTTCACCAGGTGTTTCATATCTGCTTCTGTTTCTGCTATGTGTACTACATCGCCCGCAAAGGCAAGGCATGGGATTCGTGTATACTCTTCTTCTCCATCCTTGGTGATCGTGCTGAGGCTAGGGTGACCACCCGTCCTGCGACTCGCGGGACTGTCCGGCTCGTGTCCCGCGTCCCGCGAGAAATTCCGAAATCTTCAAAATGTCCCGCATTTCACACTGTCGTAAAATTTACTCTGCAACTCATGGTACTGCCCACCAACGGGGCACGGGGAAACGCCCAGGTCACTGGTAATAATGTGAATCGCAGTGGTATGCCATTTTCTATCCAAGCATTGCGGGAAGCGACCGTAATTCTTGCAGGAGATCCGACTCGCATGCGCCGTTGTGCCTCTCCCTTTCGTGGAAAAATATCGTAAGAAAAATATCTCGCCAAAAGTTTGAATACAAAATATTATAATTATTTTTAAATTGTCAATGTGAAAGGGTTGCTGTGGATTTTTTTTTAGTAAAAACAGCCACACTCGCAACGATCGAAAAAGAACATAATGTTAAAACATATGTGTAGGACCATGTTGGTAAAAGTAAGCGTTGACAGGAAACAATGACCCGAAAAAGATTTACTGTTTATTATTTCCATTTATGCATTGAGTTATGATACAGTCAACTGTTATGTCCTAAACTTCGACACACTTATAACATGTTTGGCATTAAAAATATCACTGGTAGTGAAAATTATTAGAGCTTAATTGCTGCAATACAATTAGCAGGTGTATAAGCAGTACAGGATAATCAACGGGTTCACAGAGCCTCGGTTCGTTGTGTAAGTGTTCATAAATTTCCTCTACAAACCAGATGCAGAAGTTTTAGAACTAACCCTTCTTTTATTCAAAAGTTATGATTTTCTAAAATTTTCAAAGCGAAAATTGCATTAATTTTTGCCCGTTTTCGGTAACTGGCGCCAGAGAGCTTTGAGTATTATAAAAGGTCTATCAGCCGCCATTTTCCCAATTAAAGTTTCAGAAAATCGGTTCTAATTTTTTTAATAAGATAACGGCTGGTGCTGAAATTTTGGCATCTTGTTCGAACCTCTGGGCCCGTTTGCTCGAAGCCGGTTAACTTTAACCGCAGTTAAAAGTTAACCGCCCTCGTTAACCGTTAAACGAGAAAGAAGTGAGCAGTGTAAGGCGGGCGTTACACCAGCAGCATGTTTGAACAGCATGTAAGAACTGTATATAACACCGTCATAAATTGAAAAACTTTCAATTCGGTTCCAGTGAAAATTCACTATTATACTCCGTTTCACCTTATGTTGTACCGCAACGAAGGATAGAAGCGCGAGCTCATAGCCTTGGCTGCTGCCAACGCCATGAGCTCGCGCTTCTATCCTTTGTCTTCTATTCCTTGGTGCACGAGAGCTTGTACCACCGAGACATGCCCTAGAGCAAGGAGCTCGCGCTTGTAGCCTTCCCTGCGGTGCATCATAAGGTGAAATCGAGTATAGTAAATTACCTGAGGATCGAGGAGAACACTGGAAATATAATTCTACGATCCGCGCGCGCTGGCCTCCCACTTATAAAATATTCGAAGTAAATAATCACAACAAATCTCTGACGAACGCGCGTGCACGGCACAATTTGTTTTAGGCTTTTTGCTTTAGAACAGTTACTACTGCAGACGCCAGCAGGTGCAGCGCTTGTAACTGCACTCGTAGCATGCACCTCCGTGCTTGTGTGTACTTTTGCGTGCTATCAATACCCGGCCGATTGAGTCAAGGTAATCCACTTTTCAAAGACGTTGACATGCAGGCAACTATCGCGTTCATTTAGGCTTAGAAATGACCAGAATCCAAAAAAACTATCTAAGAAATGCGGCGAGGTCATTGCTCATGCTTTGAGTTTTAAGTGAGGTATGGCAGAGCGAAAGCCTCCTGCACCGTTCGTTGCTGACTAACGCGCCCGATATTGCAGCTACTACGACGTATTAGTTCCAAAGCGAGCGGCGCTCAGTCACCGGGGCACCGCCATGTTTCCCCGCCGTCCTTACTCTGCCCGGTCACGTGACTTAAAATTCCCTCTCATAGGGAAATGCGGTTAGAGTTAACCGCGGTTTGAGTTAACTTCTAACCAGCTTCGAGCAAACGGCCCCTGGTGCTACATTTAGGCGGAAAATGAGCGTTCGGTGATGCATAGTTTATTTTTGTGGTAAAAACAGCAACAACAAAAAACAGTGTTTATTATTTTTTTTTTGGTGGGGGGATTTTGTTTTTGCTTCTTGAGTAGCTCCCGGGTGGGAGCCCGGCAATTTCCGTGGGTATAGACGCTTTACACACGCGCCAGAATACAGCCGCCATTGCTGACCTTCTCTTGTTTTACCGAGATACCGAGCCACTGAAATTGGTGTGGACGAGCCTCCACAAAGGCCAGTGCTGGGGAGAAAGACATAATTAAATCTAGGATGGCAATGACCTAGCCTGCTGTGGTAATAATGTAGCGAAGTAAACGTAATAAGAGGAAACAAAAACTGAAGGTCAGTTATGGCGGCGACCATGCACAGCTGCTGCAAAGCGTCTATATCTCCAAACCACCATTCATACCAGTGGCGTCACCTGGGACGAGGAGGAAAAGGAAAAGCGCCCACGTCTCGCGCATTGACGGCTCACGAGGTCAAGGAAGAAGATTCTGCTCCCGAAGTTCTACCTCCAGGTAAGCCTTTCGCAGCGGCTGCCTCGGCGCAGTAAGTAAGGCGTGCCTTCTGTTTTCATGCCCGCTGATATGAACACACCGCTCGTTATCAGTTTTCGCTTTACTTACGGCATCGTAACCGCCTGATATTATACAGCCCATTGCTATAGGCTGCCGAATAGTTTAACAGAAAGGAAAAGACGTAGCTTCGATTTACGTGGTTCTATTGACAGAAGAACAGAAAGGTTAACCTGGGGGGCAATGTTGCGCTTTTTGCACTCCCAGGAGACTAGGGAGAGGGAAGTGACGTCAACAACGCAGCAAATGCAGATTGGATGTTGATTTTGTTTTCTTCTGTCAACATCCAATCCGCATTTGCTCTAGTCGTTGACGTCACTTCCCTCTTCCAAGTCTCCTGGGAGTGCAAAAAGCGCAACATAGCACCCCTGGACGCTCATCCTACGATCGTTGTCGCATCAAGTAAAAAGAAAATTTTGCGCATAGTTCATGCACTGAGCGAAGTAATTCTTAGAAGATTTCGTTGCCCGAGATCGAAACGATGCTTTTGAGCGTCTAGAACCTGTGCGTCTTGATAAAATGCCATAAATCTAATATAAGATGCTCCAAATATATCCTAATTCAAGAGATAAAAAGATAATATAGTAATGGTCTTCAAAGAACCGGACTTTTCTTTTACTATGCTTTTTGCGGTGAATAGTAGTATTGATGGCTGTTCCGCACTGGGGTTAAGAGGAGAGGAAAAAGGAAGACGATGATGAGAGAGAACAATAAAACAATTGTGAGGATGATGATTGAGATGGTTAGATGCTTTGACCTTTTAGAATGCCATGCTAGGGTTTACTAAGAGGACGGATTGTCTTGCGATTGAGTGGATAAGTGAGACGCGAAGGGTTCATATGGGCTCTGAACTGAGAGGTCAAATAAGGCGTAGTGATCCCGAAATTGTATTTTTGCGAGGCCCGGTGGATCTCATGCAATGGTCGATGAAGTTGTAAACAGTTGTAAACACAAACAGAAATTAATGAGCAAGGTGTAATTTTAACGGCAACTAAGTCATTAGCGGTCGGAAAAAAGTGAACACGTGCAGGAGTCGTGTCATATGTACATTCACTTCACTTAATTTTATTATTGCGTTATCATTAGTATCCACATGACAGGAAAAATCTGACGGCGTCCGTCTCGGGATGAAACAGTGGAAAGGGAAAACGCGTAGAGAGGAGGAGAGTGGTGAGGGACAAAGGCGAGAGGGACGTGACGTCACAGGGCGGAAGCCAATGGGAGCGCGGATGCTGGGGCGAGTCTGAACTTGCAGGTGTGCGGAGCGCGTGTGCCCTGGTTTGTGCTACAAAATGGAGTGAGAACAAGTACTAGCGCTGGCTTAAGTAGGTGGCAAAAAATTGAAAGAATATCCATCGGTGGATAGATCCTTAGGGAATGTGTGGGCATGAACATTGGGAAACCCTGGGCGTTTCCCCCTTTGGGAAAGGCTAACACTGACCCCGTAACAAAGCCAAAAAAAAACACAAAAAATAAAAGGTAAAAGAAAAAGTAAAAACGGGAAAGTGAAGGGGCCAACGTTAGTATTTTTCGAAAGGGAGACGTGTGTGGCGTTTCCTAAGTGTCATGTTAACGCATTTAATAAGTTTACTCCCATATTACCGATGGGCGGTGGAGGCAGGGGAAGATCGGCTGACAAGAAAAATGCCACCTTATAAGTAGGGTTCAGTGTTTTCGGATAAATTCGAAAAACACTTGCCGGTAAATTTTCCTTCAGTTCGGATTTACAAGAAAAACTCTGAATTTCGAGGTCACAGCGACAGAATAAACAACCAAAAAGACGGAACTTTAAACTAAACTTTATAAGAGCACAAGGTCAGTTGGTCCTGAGGATATTCCACTTCAGTTTTCTTTGAAGTTTAGAACTACCGACAACAAGGGGTTTGCTCTTTAAAAAAGCGCGTCGAGGTTCCTTCGAGACAACGGGTCATGGCACCCGGACCTGATTTAGTTTGTTTTCGAATTTTTAAGTTTTACTCAGTAAAATAAACTCCGAATTTCAAATAATTGGGTATCTAACAAAAATAAACTCCGATAAACTCTGAATTCCTAGCGAAATATAGACTCCGAAAAACACACTCCGAATTTCACGAGAAATAAACTCCGAAAACACGGAATCCTACTTATAAGGCTGAAGAAATGATCAGTGATATATAGGTAAAACATTTAGTGACACGTGAATCATAATTTGCGTACTGCCTGCTTATTTACCGGATAAATACATACATTTTATTTTTATTTAAAAAAAAGTGTGCTACAGCTAGAAGTGTGGACTGACTCATCTGAAGCGCGTAACTAGTTCGAGGACGCTGCACGCTCAAGGTTCCGGCGTTGCGCATACCATATATAATATTTTTCTACAGTTAAATTAAAAATTTGTGGTAATGGATTATTAGAAATTTTATGCGACGCCATGTGCATTGTCGCAAGTTATATACTATATAAATTATTTAATTTTCATTACTTTATATTTAACGAAAAGTGGTTCAGTATGTGCGCAATAGGACGAATTGCTTTATTCAGCAACCCAACCAATATATTCAGGTTGGTGCTTGTCGTAGTTCTCCAAACTAAGGTGACAATAGCATAAACGAAAATTGAGCAATGCGTTCTAAATAAGAAGATTTTCAAGCAACACAGAGTTGGCCAAGCATTGGCCAATGGTCGGCATTGGTCCTTTGGCCAGTAACCAGACAGTGGCCAGAGATTGGCCGATGACTGGCCTTGTTAGGGTCACTGGCCAATGGCCACTGGCCATCAGCCATCGGCCAAACATTGGCCAATGAATGGCCACTCTTTGGCCACTGGCCACAAGACCATTCCCAGCCATTGGCCATTGCTTGGCGAAAAATCCGTGGTGCTTGGGTTAACACTGGTGAGCAGTATATGACGAGTCTTGTGTAGAACACCTGTGATATTCGGACACCGTGTCATTCAATGACGGAGAGCAACGCCGCCATATAAGTTCTTCTGCTGCCCTTCTCAATATAGAAGCCTTGCTGAGTTTGCACAGATGTCTTTTGAAAGAGGACAGTGGTTTCCGCCTTCTCGAATAGGTTTCCTGTGGGACTCGAGCTCCCTCTGCTCTCCACTTCCGGGGTCCATGACGACCTAAGCTGCTTATCTTCTTGAGGACATGTGCCTGCTCGGCCCTTGATTCGAGCAACGATTCCTCTCCGCAGGCCCGAGAACGCGACTATGGCTGAAAGCAAGTACGCCCGGGTCAAGCAGTGGCTGCACTCCTGCTGTGGCCCGGCGCTGGCCGTCGCAGCCTTGCTCACGACCCTCACGATGGCTTGGTTCCGCATGGCTCCAGACAGATCGCGGCAGGCTCGGCAAGTCGCCGACCCGACGTCGCTGCTCTTCGCCTCCGAGGTTTTCAGATTGAGTCATAACGCGGAGAAATATACCGTGTTCGAGCGATGAATTAAAACCCGATTTTAGACTAGTATAAAACTACGCATCGTAGAGCGTGGTAATACCGTGAGAACGTGACGCTAGCGGGGGTGACGAAATTTGACATTGTATGCACATGAAGTAACCAGAATCAAAGGTTACACAATTAAAAAAAAAAACTTTTCTATAAGCCGACGTCACTTACGCCTGATATTAATTTAACCAAAATGTGGGGTTGTAAATGCCTGTAGCCCTTAATGAATAAAAAAAACTTGCCAGCAAAAAAAGAAAACAATGTCGTCTTTGCAGAAGAACTTGTAGTTGGGCTAGTTGGCGAATGTTATGAAGCTTGCTCTATAGGCACAAAAGGCAACGGACACAAGGAAGACGACACACAGACTGGCGCCACTCACAACTGTATTTAAAAAAGTGCAGAAAAGAAATACATATCGCGTCGTCTTTACCACGTCCACGCATGCGTCTGTCCGGGGAATACACGCCCCTTTGTCATCCATTCACAAAATAACTTCTAAAAAATCTTATCTCCGCATTATACAGTGCAATAGGGTTGTGCGGCTGAAATTTCGCCGCGCATGCGCAGCAAAACTCGTCCCCCTGACGATGCGCGCCCATACTTGTTAGCTTTACGAGGAGCACACGACGCGAGATGCTGGTGGGCTCGTCGTGCTGACCTCGGGGATCGCGAAGTAATGTACTAAATGCAAAGGGGCAGGGTGCCAGGCATTTTTGTGTACTCAAATGCACCACAGTCAGAAAAATGAGGAATGAGCAATTTTCTATGAGCAATATGAAGCGTGAGGTGGTACAGCGTGAACACAACATGTCGCACACCCTCAAGAAGGCGGCGGACCGCTTTGGAGTACCGCTCGTTTCTTCAGCCCCGAGCAGACTCGGCCAACTCTGTTCTTGCATTACCAATGGCTGCGGTATAAGGCGAGGTTGCACCACAAAGCATGTCAGGTTGTATGTTGAATGCGCCACAGGGGTGCTATGCGAAATTTTCCTTACGCGTGGAAAGTCCTACGTAGGACAAGCGGGAAGGTGTGCGGATGACCGACTGAGGGAGCACGCGCAAAATTTAAAGACGAATGATGGGGTTTATTTGAGTGAACACTGCAGCAAATGTAGCCTGAGCCGCGCCTCTCCGAGAGAACAATTGTGGGTAAGGGCAAGAGCCAGAAAGCGCGCAAGTTAATGAAAGCTTACTTTATCAGAAAAAGGAGCACAATGCCTTAGTGACAGAACTATTGCACCGTACATTAAAAAAAAAATGTGAATAGATTATAAGGCGTGTACCCCTCGGCCAGTCGAATAGCAGACGTGATGAAGGCGACAAAATATATATTTTTTTTTTATTTTCTGCACTTTTTAAATCTAGTTGTGAGTGGCGACTGCGCGTGTCGTCTTGCTTGGGTCTATTGTTTTTTTTTTTTTTTTTTTTTTTTGCGTCTTGCACCTTGCTTCATAATGTCATCTTTTTTACTGACAAGCTTTTTTACGGAGGTAAATACTACAGGTGCCCACAATCTCATAGTTTGGTTTGAGAAACATTAGGCTTAGCTGGACGTAGGCTCGTAGAAAAAAAAAAGTTTTTCTTTTGAAGCTTTTGATCTAGGAACGTCATATTCTCAAATTTGGGCATTTTATCTCCATCCCTAACATCACACTTTTACGGAGTTTCAGCTTTCTGCAATGCGTGCCTTATTTATGCAGACCGAAGAACCGGGTTTCGTTTGCTTTATGAAACTCTTTAGAAGGATTGCATTGACATCACATCAGATGTCATTGTGGAAGATCTTGCTACTGCGCCCGCCACTTCTGCAGCTTATATTTCACACCACCCGATCTGCTTATCTCCGAAATAAGGTGCAACGATCATTGGTACGGTGCGACGACTTCAGTGGAACCCACGTAGAACTATATTATTTTTGGTACCATGACCGGCGAGCCCCTGTCGTGGCCCGCGTGTTTTACCAGCGTAAATGGGACGAAGAGACGGAATATACATCCTTGTGAGTGATTTTTCCCTGTGTAGACTTCCTCATGGTGGGACACGTACGGGACCTGTTATTAATACAAAACGTATCTTCTCTCGCTTTAAAACCAGATCGCAACTTACTGTTTTTTTTTTTTTTTTTGCTTTTTAGTTTGTAGAGGTGCGAAGCTTAGACGCGTGAGAAGTAACGTGGAATCTGTGCTATTTACGTGCCTCTTTTGAAAGTAACTAGTGGAACAGTGTCTGATGCAAAGGTTCAAAACACTACTGCAGGTTACAAAGAAAAAAATAATTAAGGCTCATATTCCCAATGTGAAGGTGGTAGGACAGCGAAGCTGTGGTATCACCTCCAACGATTGCCTGCTGCATTATAGACCCTTTTTATGGCAAACGCCACAAGGTGGTGCTCCAGTCTTTGACGCCCCAGAGAACTTACGGTTTATAAAAAGAAAGAACAAATGCCAGTTTAACATCGCTGCTTGATATGTAAATGATTCCTTTAACCCCCAATTCTCCAGATGAACGCCAAAAGAACGAGGGAGTGCGAGATCTGTGAAAATCTTTCGAGTATTCTTGTAAACCCAATTGCCTCCTTCAAGATGTAATATTGTACAGCCGAAGGCTCTCGTTAGATCTCCAACTTTGTTATCCGTGTAGCATTTATGTTTTCTAGCAATGGTCAGCTAAGCAAGCTCAACAGGCTTGCAAAGACGGTGCGACCGGAAGTCCCTTGGGACACAAGCGGCCGTTCATGTTTGTAAACAGCAAAAGGTTCGATACCAAATGATTGACGAAAGAGAAGTAAATGCACTGTACCAATACTTTTTTATATATAAAAGACTTCGTACATTGCCGTTGCTGCGGCAGCTTTTGCAACTGCAATCTTTGCCGAGAAATGTATCTGGGTAGAGCTACGTGCTTATCATCTGTCACGTGGTTTTGACACTTGTTTTGTGGTTTTCTTATTGAAACAAGTGTGAAAACCACATGGTCAGAAATAATGGACGCGAGAACGTGATAAGGCGCGTGCGATGGTTTTCTGTCGACGCACACGAAAAAACCCGACGTGTCTACCCTGTAGTTTTCACCACAGGACAATGAACGGTGATTAACATTAAAAGGAAAGTTTCTGGAAAGCAGACGCAGTGTGGCAGGGGATGTTTCGCTTTGATACCTAGCTTCATTTTACCTTTTTCCTCTCGTCCTCAGCATGTGACTTCTAGAAAACGCGAAATATATCTCTAGCATTTTTAGGAAGAAAAGAGAAACGGGGTCGTCTATCCGTTTATGTTATATCTATAAATGCATGAGTCGTATAACCCATTCTTTCATCCTGACTTTGGTATTCGACTACTTCCCTGATTTATTTTGACTGACAAACAATGACTATCAAAAACTAGATTAACTTTCGCACCTCTGCAGGAACGGCAGCAGAAATACGCAGTAATCCAACCGTCATATAAAATAAAGAATCCGTTAGCATGACCCTTGAAAAACGCCACGCACGTCTTCCTTTGGGAACATGAACGCTGACCCTTCACCTTTTTTTGCGATTTTTTCTTTCTCTTCCTCTATTTGCTGCCTCTGTTTGGCTTCGTTATGGGGTCAGTGTTAGGGTTACCAAAGGGGAACGTGTGTGGAGTTTCCCCATGCTTACGGATCCCCTAAGAATTCATAAAGGGATCGTCCTTTAATTTTTTTTTGACGCTTACTTGGACCAGCGCTAGTACGTGTTTATATTCCCTTTTGTAGCACAAACCAAGGCAAACGCGGTCCGCACACCTGCAAATTCAAATTGGCTCCAGCATCTGCGAGCGCACTGGGTTCTTCCCCGTGAAGTCGCTTCCCTCTTGCCCTTTGTCGCTCACTACTTTCCCCCTACGCGGAGCGCTTTTCTTTCCACTGCTTTGTCAACAGATGGACGCCGACGGCTTTTCTCTGTCATCTGGATACTAATGCTAACGCATTAAAATAAATTTTCAGGAAACGTGTTTTAACTTTCGCGTCTCTATCCTCGAGGTGGCCGTCGTCCGGAGGCCAGGTCCTCTGGCTCACACTTCGGTCCTCCGCGAGGGCACCCTGGGGTTTCTCCGCGCCAGGCATCGGACGGCTTCGACGCCCGGCGGTCTCCACTCGAACAGACTGCCCAGGGCGCTGCTGCCGGAGCACTACGACCTAGAGATCAGGCCATTTTTCGCTGAAGTCGACGGCGACCACAAGGAGGGCAAGGACGACGACGCCTTCACGGCCACCGTGGCCATCCGCGTCCAGTGCGTTACTGACACAACGTCCGTAGTGCTACACGCCGGTAACTTCAGTTTCATTCCGGGGCCAGCCGGAGAGAGTGCCACGGCGGTAAGTCGAGGGTCTTGAAGTGCGTTCCAAAACGTAAATCGTTAGCTACACGAAGGTGCTTACACTCTCGGGGACTCTCAGTGTATACTGCACGCAAGTACGTCCACTCCTTGCGCACATTGTACGTTTGCTTTCCCGCCACTTGAGACCATGTGCTTTGTTTTTCCCTATCTTAGCCAAGAGCGGCGTGCTCTTCACTGTCTCGTTACCTCGAGCTCCCTGCACGTGTTCGATATCGCCTTTTGATTGGAGTTCACATCGATGCACTTCAATGCGCCGAAGGCGAAGTGGGAACACTTGCTCGCCGTATAATGCACAGTGATGCTCTCGGTCCAGCATTCATTGGAACGTTTTTGTAATCTGTGTGACCAATGACTATTGGAACATAATACTGATCGTCCTTCTGATTAGTTGAAATCAGGTGGGAAGCATTCAGGAGTTTATTGGTGGTGAGATTCGAAGGCCCCGGATACAGCAAAAAGCGGAAGTACAGATCAATTCAAACTTGCTTGGAATACGAAAAATGTTATCAGAGCGTGGTGTTAAAGCTGTCAGTTTCAATACTATGCGTTATCCGCCTGTTTGGGCTAAAGTGCACTGCATACACGAGGGAATCGCCCCATGGCTTCTGGGAAAGCAACAAATAGGATATAACATGGGTGCTAAAGAGGTGCTGGTGTCAATCCCTGCTCTCGTTTGTTTATATTCTCTCCGTACTCTGAATGCACGGTTCCACGCTATTGAATCTGGCACTTCTCTGAACATATGGGGAGGTATTTAAATGACTTATTTCATAAAGAGCTTGTTAGCTGTCCCATGCCATCACGCGATCTACGTGCTCGAACGAGCATGCAGTAAAGACGCAGCAAGCGAGGGTCTCACGCGTGAAGGAGGATAACTATAAAGACCTTGTTTGCTGCTAGTACATTCCTGCCAGTGACTGGAGAACATATTTATGGGCGGTTTAATATTATCTTAAAAAAAATCCGCTTCTGTGTTCCTCCACTTTTTCCAAGGTGTGGCAGCTGACGCATCCACCAACCGCCGTACCCGTGCTAAGTGTCGAGAGGGAGAACGAATCCAACTTTCTCGTCTTCAAGCTGGGGAGTTTATTAAAAGCTGGTCACAAATATGTGATTCAAATGCGCCTAAGAGGATATCTGGGTGACGCCAGGGGCTTCTACAAGTACCACTACGACCTGAATGGGAAGCCCGAGTAAGTCTCCGACAGAAAAAAAATCATCCGCAGATCTGGATGGCGCATTATGACTCGCTTGCGTTCCAGGATCACACACTCCCATAATTTTTGGAATCTATACTACTAAATGATACACTCGAAACATTGAAAACTGCTCTTCCTTCTAATCAAACAAACCAGTTGGAAGAGCATGTGGGAACACGCGCCAATCACCTTGCGTTCTCACTGGCAAAAGGAATGGACGCCTTTTTGCAACCGAGAACATGATAATTGTAGCATGATATCGAGCGCCAACTCCTATTGGTCGAGGTAATTACAGAATTCTTAATTATTGGTGTACCGAGTGCCCAAACATGCAGACTATACTCATCAACTTCTGAAAGCGTATGCTAAGAAAGCATTTGATTTGAGGCTAGGGTCAACTCTGGGTGTGGCGACTCTCGATCGTTGTTACTTTGCAGTCAATGAAACTGCGGCCGATAAGAAGGAAAAATAACAAGTCAGGCAGCATGAAGTGCGAGCATAAAAAGCCACGTCTTACGTTTCTTATTTTGTCAGTGAATAAGGACCCCTTGCTTCGAGGGATCTCAGCTTACTGTACCTGGTCACTTGAGTTGCGATCCTCTTGTTTCATCGTCCCCTGTTGTTAGTAGGTTCATCGTAGCTTGAACCGGTAAAAATCGGGGGCTTCTGCAAGCGTTAAGTGTGAAACACATCTTAGCAGTAGTGGCGTGGCATCGTACCGCCGAGCGGCGTAACCATACATTCGTCGCTGACGCTATGGCGCGCTGAACGCCGCGCCGTCACGTCACACCGTACGGCACATCTATGGTTATGCTGCTCGGCGACGCGATGCGATGCGGAGTGTATAACTTTTTAGCCTGCGGTTCCCAGGCACCTGGTGGTGACGTTCTTCGAGCCGACGTTCGCTCGAGAGGCATTCCCGTGTTTCGACGAGCCCGACATGAAAGCAACGTTCAACGTGGTCGTGGTGAGACCCTCGGGCTACCGCTCCATATCCACCATGCCACTGATGCGCAGCGTGCGTAGGTGAGCGTATCCGGAGCTACAGCAAGCGGCAGACTTAGCTGCCAGAGCAACGACACCAGGTCAGGGTACTAGACGCACCATACACTCTCAGAAAAGGGGGTGTAATGGGACACCCATTTCGATACATGTAACACCCCAAAACTACATTTTTACGTTCAGTTCGTTGACGTCGAGATGGCGATACCACCTTTTACGAGCGGCTTAATAGCTGTCGGATGTAACGTATTAAATAGCAAATGTGCGTATGAAAGACCAAAAAAAAAAAAACGCACACAAAATTTTGCAGCAGGGCCAAAATAACCTTGATTGTTTTACTGCAGCCTTTAATGCGTACGTTGGCTATTTTAATAAGTTCCATCACTCAACTATCAAGCCGCTCGTGAAAGTTGGTGTCGTCGGTTCGGCGTCGGTGGACTGAGCGTCGAATCGTTGTTTTGGGGCGTTGCATATGAAACACTTCATTTCTGAAAGGGTAGGTACGCACCAGTTATGTAAATCTTCATTATGGCCATGAAACTAATAATGGCCCGAGGAAAGACTCCCATAGCTATTGTATGAGTTTGATCGGTCCATTCATTCGAAAACGTTGACTGAAGTTTGGGACGTTGAGGTGCAATATGAATAGCCACGGATTATTGATCCTGGACTAAAAGCAGGTTGAGAACGAAATTCACCGCAGTCTACGCGTCGTAAACAACTCTTGCTATTGCGAAGAAAGGGTAAAAGCACAGGCGAGCTAGTGAAGAACTTCCATCGTAACCGGAGACACGGGAAAATAAGAAAAACGGACAAAATAACAACAAGAGCACCATCGGAGGGCAGAAGGAGAATTCAACGCCTGTGAGTGCTCGGCGGTCCTCTGTGCAGTTGCCATGAAAAGGGAGGCAGCTGAGGCCGTCTACATGGTAAATCACATGGTTCTTTCTCACCAACCACGGTCAGACGGTGCGACACAAGTCCGTGGCGTTACTGTGGAAGCTAAAACTGTCGTATAATGTGGCTCTAAGATTATCGAGGTCTGACATAACGCATCTAAAAACAACGTTTCTTTTTAGGGAAGGAAACACAGTAGCCGACCACTTCATGACAAGTGTAAAAATGTCCACGTACACACTAGCCTTTATGGTCAGTAACTACAGCGCTACGACAAATGGCATAGTAAGTTTCATCGATCAGGCAATTATCCCTAAGTGCTGAGTTCGTGTGATATGTTTTTTTTATGTGATTCAGATTCTTTTCGCAATTCCTATTGCGATTCGAATTAATTATCTTTTGACTGATTTTCAGGTCTCGATATGGACTCGACCGGACGAAACTACGCTTGCGAACTACTCCGCTCACATAACGCCCAAGATCGTAAACTATTTCAACGAGCTTTTTGATGTACCATACGCCCTTCCTAAACTAGGTACGCCATATAAAAAGTTCCTGTTAAAAATTGGGACATGAGTTTAAAACAGATATAATATTAGTTTTTATTGTCGGGAACAATCGCTTTCAGGATGCATCTTTACAATAATGGCAGGCTTTCCGTGATCCTTTTTTTTTGTTAAAAAGTGGCGAAATTCTTACCCGCAAGCAAGGATGTCAGTGAAGCTATAAGTATGGCATCCACGAGGCTAGTTGAGCAGACGTGAACAGGACACGGCATACGCTGTCACCTTTTCACATTTGATTTTCTCTTGTCCGTGTTTATTTTTTCGTATAAATATTGCAATAGACATAGCAATTTACTTAACCTTTGAGCTCGTTGTTAAGAACGCATCTTCAGAACTAAGTAAAAGGCCTCTCACTTATTTTATACTGGAAACGACAATAAAGGAAATTTAAAGTGAACTTTGTAGAAGTGTTAAGAGAGCTCCCAGTCAGCACGCACTCAGTAAGAATTGGGGACGCTATCTCAAAGCGGTTTCCGGCAGCCGGGTATCCTTGCACTGAACAAGTTCGTCCGACCGACCAGAAACAGAATGCCGTCCGGAGAGGTAAACTGTAAGCAGCCGCCGTGACAACTAATATTTCTCACTCGCATCTTGACCTGCAGAAAAGCATTTCTTTCTCAGATTTGATCGCGCTGCCTTCCTTCCTGGTGGATGCCATGGAGAACTGGGGACTCCTCGCCTTCCACAGAAGCAGCCTGCTGCACGATCCCCAAACCGAGAAACCAATGCACAAGATCATCGTGGCCACCGTGGTAGCCCACGAACTCGCTCATCAGGTGAATGGTAAAGCTTCTATCTTTACAGTAGATCGTCACGTGTCAACAGAAGGCGTCGCTAATGAGGTCACCTCTTGTATCATAGCGTGTATTTGTACGAAGCCGTACGCTTCACAAAGCTTAAAGGGGTTCGGAAACCAAACTTCGGAGCTTATATCTTTGCTTCATCAAGAAGCGGGTCAAAGTAGGACGTTACCAATACTAATAGTTTCTAGAAAAACGAAAGCAAAATATTTTAAACTGAATTAAACGATAAAGCAAACCATCTCATGGATGTCTGCGAAGCTGCAATGGAATGTCGTGAAGACATCATGTTTGTAAGAGCAGCACCACAACGGAAAGCACGCCCACTCATAAAGACTACTTCGGCCTGAACGTAGTACCGAAGAGCTTTGCTGATGGAAGTCACGGCAAGGTTGGCCGCCATTAGTTTCAGTTTAGGGAAGTCGTTCCCACAGGTTTTTCTGATAAGGCTTGTTTGAGGTCGTTTGGGGGTTGTGTCCGTGCGATGTAATCCGATGATAGGAAATTTTGATTCAAACGGGCCTGAATGCCCACGTCTTCCGGTAATGGGATAGTCGCCTTGGTTGAAGTCAACGAACTCGATCGCTACGAAGTAAACAAAACTACCGTCGTTGCTAAAAGGAGACGACCTGCACGGCTCTGCAAAGCAGCGCACATGTAAACAAATCGCAGCTGTGGTTTTAGTGGCTTAGGAAATGCGGTATAGGGAGCCGACGTCCAGGCAGATGCGTTTGGACTAAAAGAGTGTCAGCAAGAGCCACTGAAATGCCGTTGACACTGAGAGCAGAACCGCAGTGGCAACCACCCTCTTGGTAACCGCGTCGGGAACGATATTTGACAGGCGATTTTATGAGCCCCTGGGCCACTAGACAATCGCAACTTGATGCCGACGTGACGCTCGGCAAAGAGAAATTGGATTTGCTATGAGTAGCTCCCAAAAACTGCTCTAACTCGACATGTGTTGGTGTACCGTAATGCCGGAATAAAAATGACATTCTAAAAAGGTGTACGTATCTATTTTGCAAAAGGCAATCCACGTGGCGTTTATTTGAGCTCTATAATCACAAAAAAGAAGATAAAATTGAGGAGAGTGTTTTATTTCGACGAGATCGTTCGCCACCACAGCATCTGAAAATAAGTTAGGGACGACCAGGAGGGACTCTGGCCTTCTTACCCCAAAATAGAGGTCAGGGTTCAAACTGTTCATACGGAAAGGGTTCACAAAGGTCGCGTGGACATATTCCATTCAGCAAGCTAGCCGGTCGTGTGCAGATCGTCTTGTCCAGGGTCGTCGGAGCAACGTTACGTCGCAGTGCCTTGCTAGGCCTAACGTCCCTAGCTGGTCCTTGGCCGTCGCTTGGTCAATGGGATCGTTGTCGTTGTAGCTTTTTCGGGCATCCATGGTTCGAGCCCTTGTCTCCGCGGCGTTCAGTTTTAAGTACTTTTTTTCTTTCTTTTCTCTTGCTGCTTGAAGTCATGGACGCGCGCGGAGAGCACATAAAATTGCCCACTGGTCGTCGCGACGACGTAAGCGAGTGATGTTGCCGGTCATGTTGATTTGATCGTAAAAAGTGCGCAAACCTCTCGAGCTGTCTTAGGATTTCGTCGTAGGTTACGTAAAAATTACGCCAATTCCGCTTCGTGAATACCGATTTTTTCTTAGGTCCTGTCGTGCGCACCTCTTTGTCTTAATATCGTTTCGTGACTAAGCTATGCTACCTGTTGCGGCCGACGAAGAAAAGGCAGAAGGGTCCTACTGAATACGGCTCTGCGCCGACTCGTTTCTCGGCCATCATTGCGACTGGTGAAGCAGCGACGTCTTCGTCCTCACTAATGGCCTCATACCCACCGCTCTCGGCGCGTTGGTTGGCCATCGCACACTCGGGCTGCTCTGCCGGCTTACCGATATCCTACATCCCTCGGGTACTTTGACTAAGCGAGATTGTAAACCGTCAACACCTCAATGTGGCAGAGCTTGTAACTACGGTACGTGCGTCCCCGCCTTGCATGTTGACGTCAAGGATGCGCCGGATCTGCCTCCTCTCTCGAAATGGATCGGGCTCTTAGATGGTTGATTCTGAAGCGCACGCCGAAATTCCGGAATTTAGAACAAAAAATATAGCCATCCGGCTTAAGATACAGCCACGCGATTATAAATTAAGGGTTTAGCTGATCCTATTCGACTTGTGTTTTTTTTTAACGTTTTCTGCATATTTTAAGTTTCGATCCGTATCCCTTCAAAGGAAAAGTGAAGCGATTTTGTAGTTGAGAAAAAAAGTAGTCTAAATTGTCTTCATTCGGCCTCCCGGATCATAAATATAAAATCATATTACAGATTAATGCGCCAAGTAGCCGCAACGGCACTTTCAAAATAGCGCCGATTCCCCCCTTCCCGGTGCGTTCGGTCGGTGGGAGGAGAGAACCGTGACGTATTATACAGATCTTCATGTATTCATGCTTACCCGAGTGGTCAAAAACGCTGTATGAAATCTCTCACAAGCGGAAAGCATAAGGCACTTGAAACCTCTGGATATAACGTCATACCCAGCGGTTTTTCAGTTTTTCTCGCGTTTATTGTTAAGTTCGGGTCAAATTCTCGTGATACTCAAGTTCAAAGGGCAAAAAATTACTCTAGAATTCACCTCTATTTTGGTTTTTCCAAGTACATCTTCAGCTTGTTTTTAATATAGGCAATATAAATCAATCAAACTTGTGGTTTTCAACTGCGCAGTGGTTCGGCAATCTGGTCACAATGAGGTGGTGGAACGACGTGTGGCTCAACGAGGGATTCGCTTCCTACATGCAGTACCTCGGAGTGAACGCCGTTCACCCAGAGTGGCACGTGGTGAGACGTTCTCATTAAAATAAGAAAAACAGCGACGTAAGCACTCGATCGCCGCTGTAAAGGATATATTCAGAATTCCAGGATTCTTTAATGTTAATATATGTGTATCCCAAAGAATTTCAGCACATTCACTTCAGCGAAGAGTGCGTGTTTAACAAACAATCTCTGCATGCGATGTACGAGATGCGTACACTGAACGACGGGGGCCAAGAGATATGTAGTTAGGTTCGAAAGCCATATGTCTGCACGGGCAATGAGCACTGACGTTTCGTTTACGTATTGTCGTCCATGCGTAGATCAAGTGCTAGAGTCCGGGAATTTTGGTGCTTCGTCATTCGCTACACGCCGTTGTAGATCGCTGTGATTGGACAACCGCGTGCTGTACGGGGAAGTAGACGCGTAGGTATTCTTCTGCTGGGAAGGTATGCAGACGTTCCGGAGGATCGCATTGTTTGGTTTTGTTGTCATTGGTTAATTTTGTAATTTGCTGATTGTTTCTCGCTGGTTTCTGGGTGCTCTTCGCACTACGCCTTTATTGAATAAGCAATAATTTGGGAATTTCTTAAAACTTTAGTAGCCGGCGCAGTTTTTAATGCTGCCTGTCTCTCCACAATCTCTTTCTTCCTTTTAGACCGTTTAATGCGCCACCGATCGGTTATGTATAGTTTATTTAGTCTAGATCTAGTCAGACATAGTTCTTGCAGAGCACCCGATAAAGAGTGTGAAAGACTATCGCACCATACATCATTCATGATAGCTTGAAAGTCAATCGAGCGAAAAATCACACTGCTCCAAAGAAATGCCTGTGCGCATACCTTTGTGGCATACTTTTTTTTAAAATTAGTACGAACGTACATTATACCGAAAAGGGGATAAAAATATTGTGCAACAAAAACGTTCAGTCTTTCCACTCTGGTGCAGAAGGAAGACCAGCGGAGCTGTACATTGGACAGTAATGGCCGGCCGCAAGTCGGTAAGCCAGAGTAGAAAGGCTGCCGCCGTCAATGAGCGACGGTGGCCAGCAGATGCGTGGCTTGCCGCAGTCGCTTATAGATGGCAGTAGTTGTCCAGAGTTCGGTGTCTTCATTTCTTCGCGGTGGACACGATCCTGGGGAAAGTAGCCCTAACTCTGCTGTAAAAAATAACCTAAACATTTATAAACGCATTACGCAAGAGCGAGATCGCAGCCGCCATAGCTGACCTTCTCCTGTCTTGCGAAGATACCGAACCACTGAAACGGGCGTTGACGGGCTTCCACAAAAGCCAATGCTGGGGAGAAGAACACACTAGAATCTAAAGTCACTATAACCTTGCATGATATGGTAATAATGAAGTGAAGTAAATGCAATGGCTGCTTTCATGCAGAGCCTCTGCAAAGTGTATATAGGCCGATTTAGTTTTCCAGAAATCTGAGGTGAACATTCGTTGTCAGTACTAAATGCTTGTCATTGTTCCGCAAGTTAAAATTGCTCCTTAATCATCAGAGATTCCTGCTGGTACACTACCCCGATGTGCACTCTAAGTGTCAATAATTGGTTCGTCGTCCGTATTCGACGGCATACAGGAAGGAAATGGGTGTGCTCCAAACGTTAATCGGCCGGAGTAGAAAAAAAAAAGGAGTGCACGCAATTTTTTACATCGAGAACTCGTACACATCGGAGCATAGTACAGATGGCTGGCCTTCCGAGTGCACCGTGGGGCAGTAGGCATGCAGGGACTTTAGAAAGTATACATATCCGCCTCTAAGTAAATGCTTGTCTTATAAAAGAAAAACAAAGTCGGCACACGTGAGATAACTGTGCTGTCTCGGTCGTGCTCTACAACACAGCTGGACCAGTTTCCAGTCACCGACATGCATCCGATCATGAATCTTGAGTACTCTTCGCCGGACAGTCACCCGCTATCCGTTGACGGCAACTTCTCGACTGAACTCGACTCTCTCTTTGATCGCATTGTGTACAACAAGGCAAGTTCCATCAACAAGTTTAAATACTGGTTCTCTGTTAGACAAGGGGGGGGGGGGGGGGGGGGGGGCTTTGATGAGAAAAAAGGCTTCTTTTCCGTCTGCTATTGTTTTGAGCAGAAAATAAAACACTGGATCCAAGAATCCAGTTGTTCTGATGGGATCGGTATTTCCACGAAGTTCAGGTCATGCTACTGGTAATGATATTGTTGTTCGTAGAAAAAGAGAAATTGTTTTTTTGTTTTAAAGTGAAGCGAGGTTTTACGCCAACCAGTTTTCTATGTAGGCACGTGGCGTCTCATAGAAACTGATGCATGTTTTGTGCCTCTTCATTCGCTCTCAATAACAATTTGTATAAAAAAAATTCATAAAGCCTCACAGTATGAGAGGTCTATTTCGAACATCCAACAACGCCATATTTCAATCACTTGCTTTTTTTTTTTTTCGTTATGGACCTGCCAATTTATAAGAGAAAGGCACTCGGCATGTTCGTCGTGTTAAAATGTCTGTTGCGACAGCAACTACGAGTACAGTGTGCTCAAAATCATTGAGGCTGTAGCTACGAAATTCAAAAGTGCGAATAAAATCAGGTAATATGAATATGTAATTGGTTGCGCCATTAGGGTTCGGCGGCACCCAGTGCAGTTTTCCGCCAAGGCCTCCCCTCCTCTCCCCTCCCCGCACACACTTTCCTGAACCGCCCCAGTGATGCTACTATATGCAATTAAACTACTGCCCAGATGCGACCGCACGAAGCTTAAACTGTCTTAACCCGAGTTCGGCGCTCTAGGGTGTTATCGTCAATGGCAGGAATATTAAAAAAGATCACATAACTCCAGGAATTTTTTCGTCTTATGTGGTCTCTAAGAAGAAAATATTCAAAAATTTGCAGAGGGGTAAACCGTACTAATTGAATGGAACTATCACCTAAAAGCCACCAAAGAACGAGATCTTTGGAGGCTATTTTATCAGTAGGGTTCATTCATCTTATATGATCTGATCAAGCATCGTGATGATGCTTGATGAGATCACATAACTACAGGGGGCTTCGGTGGGCTATTCGGGCGTAAAGTATAAATGTACCAACCAACCGAGTGCAATAAAACTTCTAACAAAGGTGTTTTTATTTGGCGCATTTATCACACTCAAATTTGATGAGTGTAGGTTTTAGGAAAAAAACAGATTCAGTCTAAAAATCTTGTTTATTTTCTATCCACAGAAATAAAAACAGCGAAAACCATCTGGTTGACACTACCACTCATAAAGGGGAAAACATAAAGCAAAAACATAAAGGCTCCTTTGGAAAAATCCCCCGAAAGCAAATTTAGAAGATGTGGGCGTGCGTGGTGACATCGATTTTACCGCTTTCCTCACTGTAAATAAGGGGGGGGGGGGGGGAGGATATTTTATTTTGTTTTATTTATCTCCCTGAAATCTACTCTCATACATTTTGAGTATGGTAAATGCACCACCTAAAGGCACTTTGTGAAAGGTGTCAATACACTCCGTTTGTTTGTTTAACTTTGGTGCCCGAACAGCACTCGGAAATAAAGGCCCTGTATATATTGATTCCGTGGTCTCAAAGATTTCGCAACTGTTTGGAATTGGTTGCAATAGAATAGTCACGTTAAATAGAGCCTCTAAAAGATACTTTGTCTGCTTACTTGCCGCACGTGAAGTTATACACGGCTTGCACTCATGTCCCACCATCGGCCGCTGTGGCGGCCTAGCTGCTGAGCATGTGTACCTTCGCAACAGTTATTACGCACCGCCCAGGCCCGGGGCAGAGATACTTAGAAAAGTATTCCGGGATTAAAATACTGAAATATATGAACAAAAGTATTCTGGAATAGGAATACTGAGATACATTTCTTTTTGCTGTATGGGGATATTTCGGAGATACTCTGTAGAAAAAAAAGGAAAAATGTATCCGAGAATACAGATAACGAAATACAGACACTGAAATACTTTTATTCCTCGAATGACGTCATGTTTCGTAAAAATATTTAAGATTGCACTGTAAACTAACGCAGTGACCTATGAAAAGCAACTCCAAAATGTGGCGCAAGAAACGAAGAAACCTGAATTTTCGAGCGGAAAAAAAACAAACATCTCTCTTTATTCATGAAAGGTTCTCGCAAACAAGAAAAAATGAAATCAAGCACTTTGCACTTCAATAGGAGAAACTTCTCAAACAGTTCATCGTCAAGACAGCGACGGTTCGGTTTTAGTACAAGACTCGCGAACGAGAAACACTCTCTCCACTGCTGCAGAAAAGCGCAA